TTTAAAATCTTTCCAATATGTTACTGTTCTTTAGGAAGAAAGAAGGGCACAGTTGCCCAAATATCAGCGTAATCTCCCTCGGCCAGGCCAGGCATCCATGGGTAACCCACCGGTTGGACCAATTGGAGGTATGATGCCACCACAGCCAGGAATTCCTCCACAGCAGCAAGGAATGAGACCTCCAATGCCGCCTCATGGTAATCACACAGGCTTTTCCTGCCCCCCACCCCACCCATTTGATTTCTCTAAAAGACCTTTTCAAGTTTTGAGGTTACAGGTTTTTTGTTCCGTTTTTTTGAACGGACAGAAGTAGCATTTTCACCAAAATGTAGCCTCAGCCTTTTAGCATTTAAATGCATCTGTCCTTTGAATCTATTCAGAGACAAATTTTTAAATAACATTTTTAAAATAAAATGGATTTGTTTGCTTTATCTTATAAATGTTTTGTTTATAGGTCAGTATGGTGCTCATCACCAAGGCATGCCAGGATACCTTCCTGGAGCGATGCCTCCATATGGTCAGGGACCCCCGATGGTGCCCCCTTACCAAAGTGGACCTCCTCGACCTCCAATGGGAATGAGACCGCCCGTAATGTCGCAAGGTGGCCGCTATTGATGCTACTACACGCAGTCTAATAGGTTTGGAGATTAAACCTTTTCTCATCTTGTGCTGTTAATATAGCCAAGCTTCCGTCAATTAAGGCTTCATTGTGACTTTAAAAACACTTTCTTCCCACATGCAAGGAGCTATTGGACATTCTTATTTTACATGGGAAAAAATTATTTGGAATAATAAAACAGGAACTTTTCCTGATGTTGCAATTTATACTGTATGGCTTCTTTTTCATGTTTCATCTAGGTTTTTAGAAGTGAAGTATAGTAAATATGGTTCGTTAAATTGTGAAGGCGCTGGAATTACATGAACATACCATCTTAAAGGCAAGTTCTGTAACATTATGTTGCTATTTGTAAAATGATGCCTTCACAGCACTTCATGTGCTGTTGGACTTCATGTCCCCAACATTGCTTGGTGAGGGCTCTAACTGTTCCCAACTATCTGTACATTAAAAGTCTGAACATGTAACAATATTTAATGTATTTAGAGTTCCTCCTGTTGCAGGGTTGAAGTAAACTGACCCAGTAAGGTCATGTGACTTTTCTGTACTGTTATAAAATTCATTGTAATAAAAGAAGAGAAAAATTTATATGCCTTTTTATTCATGACCAGCTGTGGACAACTGCCTGAAAGGTTTGTACAGATGCATGCCACAGTAGTTATTGCTGTAATAAACACATTTACTGGTGCTGTTGATTTATGCTCTGAATTCTTTTTTGAACTTTAAGTCACTCCTTAGTTGCATGTTGTAGTCTTTCAAAGCAAGTAGACATAGACCTGTACACTTATTAACTGACTTCTCAAAAACCATCATTTAGTAGGAATGAGGCTACGGGGCACGTTTTGCCTCTCTGTTAATTTAAACAGCCCAGTTTCCTTAGTGCTTTGTTTTCTTCAGTAAATCTGATTTTTAACTGGCACTTCATTGTAAGCAGTAAATGAGACTCTAAAATGTGTCACATTGTCATTATTCAGATGATTTCCTTGGCTGTATGAGTGCCTGAACCTTAGGAGCCCTACAAGTGAAATTTTCTAGAAGCTTAGATGCATGACACACAGACTAACTTCTGTTGCTACTGTATTGAAGGGGACCTGCAAAAGAAAAATAGGTGTTTGTCTATCCTTCATCTCATGTAAAGGAGGCCCACAACTGTGGGAGGAAGAAAGAACAGTGAATGTGATGGGTTCCATTTTTACTGTACCTGTATTGTTGGTTACTGGGCACATAGAAACACTTAAATGTGTGTGTGGGAGCTTGTTTGGCCTTTTGAAGTGCCTGGGGTATTGAATCTGTAAGAGACTTTTCTCCCAAATGTCTTAATTACCACGTTAACAAACAAAACAATTATAACAGTTTGATTTAGTAACTTATACTCTTATGCAAATTTTATTTCCCTGTTGTGTCAGAATCTTGGTTGTCTGTAGTCTTCAAGGTTTGGTGAGCCTAGACTTCTAATGGAGTGAACACTTTTGGGATAAAAAGTTAAGGGGGATTCAACTAGTGAAAAAACACAAGATGTTTTTCCTTTGCAGGTCAACTTCTAAATACAGATTCCAGCCTCAACATGACCTATCTTTTACCTATGCCACATGTTTGGTGGTGGTTTTACCTTGGCATTTTTCTATAGGTTAGGTTGAAAAGCCTATCACTTTGGTTTGTACTGTAGATGGTTCATTATATTTGTTTCTTTATCTATAATGCTAAGAGTCATGGCTTAATTTCCTCTTTAACAGATTTAGGTTGGATTTTTAGAGCTATAGCTGAAACTTGAGATGTAGAGTTTCTTTATTTGAACACTGTCTTTTCATAGAGCCTGGGAAACTTTAAAATTAGCCAAAATTTGTGATGTCTTACAATAGTGCAGTCAGTTCTGTGGGACCTGCTGATTTTAAAATTTCTTCAGTGATTTAGTATCTTCTAGTTTCATGGTGTTAGTTTTCATACTTGAGACATGTCTCTCTCAAATCTCATGAAATACGCCTCCTCCCCTCCCCCCAAGCTCATGTCTCCAGGGTAATCTAGGTATGTTCTTTTTGTCTCTGGATATTTCTGTATCTTCTGGTCACCAAAAAGGCAGATATATTGAGTTATGCTTGGTGTAAAGCATTGTGAGCTACAATTTAGGCTTGAGACTTTTGTTTACTTCTTCACATAGCAATATGCAGTATTTGTAATTCCATGTGTCTGCTGTCTTTGGATAGAATCTGGTTAATTAAGTCAGTGCTTTCATTCACAAAGCCAAGCAGTAATGAGAGATATAACTACTACTCACTCATGTTTGCCTGTTTTTATATCGCACCTAAAAAAGCACTTGTTCTAAACTGGTCTTCTGTTCTGCCTAGGAAGTTTATGGAAATTCCTTTTTTTTTTTTTTTTCCTGAAGGTTTTCCTGTGGCTGACAATGGGTCTAGTAACCCCTAAACAGATCCCTGTTTTGTGCATGTTGGCTTTTTTATGCAGTGTATTTTTATAATTCCATTCTCCTGGAATCTTAATGTCACTTTTCCTGGAATAAATATTTGAAAAATTCGGTGTACCATGAACTTTAACATTATTCTGCAAGTTGCCATTACTACTCTTTTAATCCAAGAGCAATTATTTTGGACTACTGAAAGCGTAATTTTATGACTAATGTTTTGTAGACGATTTAGAGTTTGTATCTTTTTCTGATGGATCAGAAAAAGGGCAAAGGTTCACCTAGGCATAACAATATAGTTGAGATGCTAATTTCTGTGCACGTTTGGTACATGAGAGGAAAATGGCTAGCCCTACATCCTCAGCCCAAATGACCAATTACCCATGGCAGCTGGATTAACTGGGGATTGCCATCATTTTAGTGGAAATGAAGCTTGAATTTATTATGACTTTGAACCTGTAGGGAGATGTCTTGACTGTTCTGCCACTGTACCCAGTTTCTAATGGCACTGGAATGAACATTGGTGATATTTCACATGCACTGGGCTAGTTGTTTTTATTTCACTGTTTGCTAATGGGACAGTCTGCAAGTTTGTAAGCAGACTCTCTCTCTGCTCTTAGTGTATCTCAGATGCTTTCTTTCCTGCTCTTGTTCTTTTGTTAGTAGAATTGTAGTGCAGTTTCATCTAGTTCCTGTTACAATTTTTGCAGTACCTAATTATCAGATACTTCAGTGGAAATATTGTGTAATAGAATTTACTGTTGTATAGTCTTTTCCTGTTTCATTTCTTGTAGGTACTGCTGCTTCATGTTAGGAGTCGGATTTGTGGTGCCTTTCCCAAGAAGGAAAAGCTGTTTTCCAACAGATATTTTAATGTAATGTTCTAGTGAAAGATTACTAATCTAAAACATTTATCTGATGTGGTTGTGCTGGCAAAATCCCTGGTGGTAGGTGTAGCTATGCCAACAGATCTTGTTGGCTTAGCTAATATTGCTTGGGGAAGAGGAGGTTCTTCTGTGCCAGCAGAAACTTCTTGAGCTGGTACATCCTTCTGTTTTTCCAGAGGCTGCTAACATTGGCACGCATCCTGCATGGTTGCCACATGTTCTGCAGCCAGTACAAAGACATGGTAGCTACATCGAACGGAAATGTTTTAGAGCAGAATAGGAAAGTTGATGCTTCTTGAAAGTCTAGCATTTATGGTATCTAGTACTGTTCCTTCGTTAGAGGATCTACATCCACTTGTAAATTGTCTACTCAGTTTAACAACTGTTAAGTGACTTGTCCCTAGACAAAGAGTGAATCTTTGGAGGAGCCTGGATTAGAACCTGGAAATCTGGATATAGCTTGTTTTAACTGCTAAATCATCCTTCAGCCTTGGGCTAATTTTATAGTTGCCCTTCACAAAGTTGATTGGTTTCTGTGGTCTCTTAACTAATGGCTGAACTCTTTCTTCTGATGAATGATGAAGTACAGCTCTTTTCTGGTGACTAGCCTTTATTCCTTTACAGAGTCTTACTGCTTCATTTGAGATGAAACACAAAGTGCTAGTACTAGATTTGAGGCTGGGATGCATATTTTACAATGAATAATGAATTCTTGCTCTGTGCATGCATGGGAGAACATGAACAAGCTTCTAGAAAGTTATTCAGCTGCTCTTGAGACTTCTTACATGGTGCCTGCACTCATTTAGAGTGTCTGAGGTTAAATAATTACCTGGTTTTACCTAGGCAGTGCACTCAAGTTATAGTTAACTTACTTTCTGAGAACTAACGTGTAAAGCTTCATGGCGCACAATCTAAAGTTATTTTGCAGGAACCAGAGATTTCTGAATACAAGACAAAGGAAGGGGAAACGGCAAGACGACACTGGTCGTGCACAGTGAAGAGGAATAAAACTCTTCTCATTGCAGAAATTAAAGTTATGACATACTAGCCCATCAACTGGCATTTGCTATTAAATTTTTTCTTTGCCCATCAACTGGCATTGCTATTTATTTTTTCTTTGTCTGGTATTAAATGACTTAATAATTGTACTGGTCTAGCTACTATACTTGACACAAGTGGGAATATACTTTTCAGTGGCTGGTGGGATTTTTACTTAATGTTACTTTTACATTACCTAGCATAGTAAATGCCATTGGTTATGGGAAAATATACGCAGACATTTGAGTTCTGTTCCAGCGATCAAGCTACAAAGCCAGCCCTTTTAAAATCCATCTTTGTGTAATTTAGAAATAGCCACAAACTGTAAAAGGCTTAGCTTGAAATCAGAATAAATGCCAAGACAGCAGGGGTTTTGTTTGCTTGATCCCTGGAATCTTGTTAATTTTGAATGCATGTTTTTCACTTAATTAGGTCATGTTTTTCTAAAATTTAAATTTTTCTTCTTCCTATAGCCCTGCCATAGGACAGGCTGAGGCAGAGTCTCAGTGTTGCCCTGTTCAGTCTGAGGCAAGTGGGATTTATTTTATTCATTCTGGGGGCTTTCACAGCGTTATGGCTGTTGGATATCCATGTCCCCAAACTTGCAGCAAGTTTGGTGAAGGCCCCTAAATTTAACTTAACTTAGGATTTTTGTAATCTTTTGGTAGATGGGCTCTATATTAATACTCATATTTTTGACTGTGGTGTCTTTTTAAAAGTTGGGGGGAGGGAAATATGTTTTAAAATGTTTGGTATTTTTGATACTGATGGAAGTTTCTGTCTGTTAAATGGCCAATCACTGAAATCTTTAAGCCACTGCCACTGTATTCTGAATTTTATTTGTGCTGTTTAGGTTGGCTGCCTTCTAAAACTGGAACTGCATGTAGCTTTTGAACTTAGAGTGTAAACCTGATTTTAGCTATGGGAAATTATGTTAGTGTTGTTTAAAATCCAGAAGTTTCATTTTAAGACTTTCCTGCTTCTATTGAAGTTCTTTTATAAAATAATCCATTATTGAGAACATAAAATAAGCGGTATTTGTGCAACCGTAATCATTTAATACTGTGCCCTTAAAAGGGAGGATATTATGGTGATGGGGTGATGTATTGCATTTGCAAGTTACACCACAAATATTAATGTAGAGCCCTCTGGAGAAGAAATGCAGGTTTGAGTTGGTAAAATAGAAAAAAGGGGGGGGGGGCGGAATGAAAAATTGAAGCAATAAATTCTGCAGAAGTGTCAGTTTGACAGATGACTACATTAAACTTCTTAAATTTCTGCTGTATAGCAACAGTACATTCTAAAGTTTTGGCATTCAGTGACAATTTGGAGGGATTTTGCATTGTAACATGAACATGTTGAATACTTATTACTGGGAAATCTTTTACCAGCAACATTGCTGGTAGGACTTTAGTGTTCCTCTAAGAAAATGAGGATTGTAACTTCTGAAATACTTGCTAACATTTTTAAAGTACTGTTTGAGTAAACCTCCTGACCCCTTAGTTTTCTTTGGCAAATATTTGGTCTAGACAACAGAGGCTTATGCAGACAACCTCAGTCTCAAAAGAATATGCTTTGTGTCTATGTGGGCTTGATGTTGGGAGCTGTTTTTTTTTCACAATTTGTAACTTGAAAGTCATTTGTTTTCCTAATTTAATTTAATTTGACACTTTCTCAAACTTGTCATCTGAAGTACGGTGAGCCATAAATAGTTTTTTTTTATTTCTCAAATGATTTTCCTTTTTATAGCAGACCATAAACTTGTAGCTTACAGCAAGCGAGTGTTGCTCACTCTCTTTTTACTACACGGGTGAAAATTGCCTTGAAGAGTGTGACTTGGTCCTTCTGCCATGTTCTCTTCCAGCTTTAACAACCTGCCCCCTCCAGCTCACCACCTGACCCCATTCTGGGTTTCTGATCCTTCTGATCTACTCCTGTTTTAATGATGAAAGTCAACATCTGCTCCGATTTTATTAATTCCCCCTCATGATTGAGCAGTGTATTTTTCCTTCCTAATTCTTTTGCATTGTTACCATGGGTACCAGTGAAGATACTGTACTACAGAAATTCGTATTTCGAACAAGCTGGGTTGGTTCTGTTCTGTCTCCATATGTGCATATAACAAGTTTGTAAACCTCCTTTTTCCAGAAGAGATCTGAATAAAGGTTGTATGTATTGCTTCATCTTTAAAGACTCAATGAGTGAAAAAATAAACAAGCATTGGGTGTTTCATATTAAAAATCACTGACTGTCACCTCTTACCATTTAAGAGACTGGTACAGTTCTGTAAATAGTTCTTTCATTCAGAGGTTGATGTTGTTGTTGTTATTATTATCATTTATTATTTTGGTTAAGTCTGTATGTATATTTTGAACTAGATGTGTATAAAGGTAGAGTTTGGCTACTGTTTACACTCTACCTTTTCCAGAGAATATGTCCTCGAAATGGGTATCCTGACTTTAGCCACACACAAGTTACGTTCAGTAAATCCACTTTGTGGCAGTTGATTTGAATAGAAAGTTAAAAACTTTTCCAGCTGCTTTAATGTCTGATATTTTTTTTGACCCATGGGAAATGACTTGCACTTCATGTTTCTCTTGTACTAGTCTCTTTGTCTAGTACCCATTCATAGCTCTCAGCTTCCCCAGATCAAGCTAGGGATATTTTTCTTTTCCTTGCAAGGTATTCGTTGAGAACATGACTGTCGGAATTCAGTTTAAAAAAAAATGAAACAAAGCTTGTATACAGAAGAAAACTAATCATGTCAACATAATTCTGTGGGTTATTGTGGTGTGAATTTGAATCTTCCTTACTATAATTTATAATGGATACATCTGAAATGGTACCTGAAATTTTTGTTGGTTCAAATGTAGCCTTCATTTTCCATCCCCAGTGGGGGTGTTTTCCCTTTCTCTAGGCCCTTAAAAAACCAAAAAACCCAAAACTGGCTTTTTAAAATTGTTATAAAATGTTTCCCATTTTGAGATTTCCATCCATTTTGGTGGCTTCATCATGTACATCAGAACTTATTCTAATCCAGTGCCAGACCTGATGTCCATGTATTTAATTTGAAAGCTCTCCCTGGTGTGTTGTGGCCTAAAAAATCAGTGGAGGTTTTGCTGCCTTCCTTAGTGATGGCACACTGATTTATGTTTTTAATGGAATTTCTCAACTCTCAGATCTGTTGACTGATCTTAAGTGTTTCAAAAATATCTCTAAAACTCAAATTTAGTATAGAAAACTTTTTTTTTATCTTGCTCCTAGTGTGAAGCTTTTCAGTGTCCCTCCTGTGTGTGGATCTAAGGAGGATACTTCCAGAAAAATTTCAACTGTAAACATTTTCCTACTTCAAAGTATAACAGTATGTGTGTGTTTTACTAATACGGTACAGTGTGCCCTTACTAAACCAGCAATCCATGTAGTAGATTTACTGAAGACTATGGCAACTCATGAATAAGCTCTGCTGAAATGCTTAACTGCTAGATCAGATGAATTTGCACACCACTCTTCACATGCAAAGTAAATGAAAGGCATGGTAAATTAAATACAGCATATACTATCCATTAAGTTCTTGGCTGCCTTAGAATGTTGTTTAACTAGTTTCACAGAATATTTGCGTGTAGCAAATATCAAATGCTGTCTGAGAAACAATGAAAATACTTAATAGCAGTGCCTGCCTCAGATAAGTTTACCAGAGGTTTTTATGTATAATGACTAGGATTGTTCTGTAGCCATCTGGAAAAATGCAGTTAAGTGGGTAAAAGGCCTCTTTTGCATAAATATGGATAGGGTGACCATACCTCCCGGTTTGGCCAGGATACTCCTGGATTCCATATCCCTGTCCCAGCCAGTTGATCAGAAGTCCTGGGCTGGAGTATAGCAGGGAGGGGAGGGGGAGCAGCATGGTGCAGTAGGCAGGCACTGCTGCTCCTGCGCAGGAGCAGAGACTTGTCAGTTGTGGGCAGGGTGCGTCTGCTCACCTTCCTCTTGCACAGGAGCAACAGTGCCTGCCTGGTGCACCATGCTGGTCCACCTTCCTGCCAGACTCTGGCCTGGGACTTCAGACCAACCAGTTGGGATGGGGCTATAGAATCCTGGAGTGTCCCAGCTGAACCAGGACTTATGGTTACCTAGTTATGGACCATCTCTCTACTTACAGTAAAAACTGGTGCAGATATTGATACTAATTGGGAGTGAGGAAAATATTGAGGGATTGCTGTTATAGGGGACAAGGCAGAAAGACAGTGTTTGAATATGTTGTATTAATTATATGAGGATAGACTTTTGATGGAGTTGTGGAAGAGGCACTTCATTATCTGAATATTTTTGTAAAATACACTACACAAATGACAGCTTTCTGCTCTAGTTACTCAATTGCAGTAGAGAGTAAGAATTATTAATAGCTAGAGCAGCTATACTAGCATCCTGTTTCTGCTAGCATGACTTTTAGCAACAAAGCTGCCTTTAAACTGCAGTCCCAGTGACATTGGAATCATTAGCACCTCTCTGTTTGAAAGCCCATCTTTACATCTTTAATCCCTAACATCTTGCTTAGGTAGGGCACATCTTATTATCCCTGGGTTTAATTCCAGTTTCTAGGATGTCCTTTTCAAACATCTTCGTCATTTTAACCAGTATAGACTTGCAGATTCCAATACAGCTGACAGTTCACAATACTGTATCACATCACTCAGCTCCATGCCATCTACTTTTTAATAGGCATTGAACTATTTAGAATAGGGAGTTTTTACTGGTCCTTGTTTGGCCAGATGGAGATAGGAGAAAGCATGGCTATCTAAGTAGCTGGCCATAGACTGCATGTGCCCTGCAAGGGTTAAGTTGCAACCCCTGGACTGTTGCCCAGTCACTGATTCCCCTACCAGTCTGACTGCAGTAGCTGGAGTCTCCAAAATCCCCCTCCTAGCTTCTTCCTGTCTCCAGGGGGCTGTGTGGCTGGGGCTACCTGGGTGCATGGTATAACCTACAGGGCATCAGGCCCCCTGCCACTTAAAAGTGGGAGAGCCAGGAGGTAAAGCATGAGTGTAATGGAGAAGAAGTTGAATTGGATTGCTTCTGTGACTTCCACATTTCAAGTTCCCTGGAAAATACTCTTGAGTCAGTTAGCTTAAGCTTAAAATCATGTTCCTAAACTACCAAGCACCTAACTCAACTATATCTAGTAGCATGTTAACTTGAAGGCTACAGTAATTTGCCACTTATCTGAAAGTTTGCATACCAGCCTTTTGGTTACTTCTTCACTTGCCCAAACAGAAATAATCCATTTTAAGCACACTGTTTTACAGTAACAACTTCACTTATGTCAGGGTTTGTCTTATCTAGGATTTAAAAACAAATAGATTATGTCAATGGCATAATTTTATGGGATCATTTTAATATGCAAATAAAACCATTTTATGGGGCTATAAAATACTTTTTTTCTCTTGTCTCTTCAACAGAAGGGAGAAACAGAGGTATTTTAAAAGGAGAGAATACAGGGTTTGCTAGAGTCAGTTTGAAGTACATCAAGTCCAAGCATATCTGCCCAGGATTTTCCTCCCTTTTTTGGCCAAATTGAGTAACTTCTAACCATATTTTAATGGTCATATTTTTACTGTTGTCCCCTACCATAGCTAACAGATATGTATTTACCAGTCCTAACTGTAACTTCTTGGTTTTGGATGTTGGAGTTTTCACCACACTTAAGAGCAACCTATGTTCACTCAAAGGAATATATTCACTTTGTTGTGACTTGCAATGTCCTACAACATTTCAAGGGTTAAAGGCACTTTCGCTTCTGTTGCCTCATTGAAGCACATGTACTCTTTGGGTGCTGAATTCTGAAACTCCCCTTAAATTCTGGTGGGGGCAAATGTAGTCTGCATCTTTTAGATTAAATGTATAACTTGCATAAGTAAATTATACAGATTCCCCACCTACTCCACAAAGTGCTCTTTAAGAGGGTTACTCTTGCAGCACGCATTACTTGTTTCCTGAGATTTACCCTAATAGATGTCTGGGATGTGGGGTAGAAAAACATATGAAATTCAAGACAAAATCAAAGTAATATTAGCTGCCTTTACTTGAAGCTTACAATTTTTAAGGGGCAGATTGCAACAATTGAGGCTTGACAATTTTTTTTTAATGAAAAACTTTAAATTATGGATTAAACTCCTTGGTTTAATAAAATTTGTGTTTTTGTTAACTAGCAGCAGAATTTCAGCATTTGGTTCTTACTGGTAGAGAAGAAAAATCCTACAGCACTGCCAGTACAGGTTAGTTTAATCTGTAAGTACCTGATGTTCCTATTTGAAATACTTTGTTCAAATAATACTCTTTGAATACATGAAGAGAGAGTTTTTTTTAATTTATTTGAATGTGATGCATCAGTCTGTCATGTAGGGTGTATCTACTGCTGTCTTCAGTAGTGAACAAACTTGTAGAACTCGGCTTTTGTTTTGTGGATTTTTTTTAATCACATGCAATGATTCAGACCAAAGGTTAAGGGTCACAACTTCCTGTAAGAACCTATTTAAGGGAAATAATAAATTACAGCGTGCTAAACAGCCATTTTATCAGCCTTGAAAAAGGTAATGGATGCTTAAGTTTGGAATCAGGGTCAGTTCTTGAATAACTTGCTTATTTCAAAAAGGGAGGCCATTTTATCGCTAATAGGATTTAATGTTCTCTCTTTTATGTTTAGAAAATGGGTATTCCTGCTGGTAACAAAATAGCAGCAGTAATTTAACCTTGCCTTAAATCTTTTTGTGGATGACAACTTTTCAAGGGACTTTATATGCACCTTCCAGACTTAGTGCTTTATTGCATCTTTAATGCAGTCAGCCCTATAGCATTGAACTTGCTGTTTTCCGAAATCCATCCCAGCCCTTTTCAACACATTAGAGGTCCTACAGAGTTCCCTGTGAAGATTAATTTAGGCCAGTCCAAAATTATTGCCTTTCCTTTCCTTTCTTTGCTTTTTTCCCCTTCAGTTTTCATACCATGTTTTATTTGTTTACATTTTTAAACAGGTAGTACTTTGGATTTTTAGTTTATTGTATGGTGTGTCCTGAGCATCTCAAGTTTCAGGAAGTAAAATTTGGATCTGTACGCACATGAATTAAAAATAAATAAAATCTAGCTCAGGTATTCAGTTGTATAATATTAACCGAATCACCTACATGAAATAAATATTGTTTAATCTTTACAGAACAGGTCTGCAAGTCAAGAAGTGAGCCTTACTTCCTGTTATGAATTATGTATTATACTAATATACAATGTGTTAACCTTTCTATGCTGTATCTGAGAGGGCATAAAGCTTAGAAACAATAGATGGGCCTTTTCAGATCTTTGGATTGAAAGTGAGATAAAAGCACAAAATAAAAATATTAAGGACACCAATAGATGGTATGGCAATTGGAGAAAAATAACTCATTTAAATAAGCGCAGCAAACTAATGGTCAGTGTGGTAGCGATGGTTGCAGTAACTGTAATTCCATATTTGAATTGTTCATCTTTCAAAACTGCATTTTCAATCATGTTAATTATTTGTATGGATAAAAGACTACTGGGGGGAGGGGGAATGTCGTAGTGTTAGTGCACATTCCCCTCGACTTTTTTTTAAGTCTTCAGCCATTTCATATGTAAGTGTATGCCTGCAAGAAGCATACAACTTCAACTACTTAAAGGGAGAGGCCTGTTCAGGCCTCTGCTCTGGGAACCTGATGGTTCAGGTACCTTTTTACTTACGTTTCCAAACTAACTTTTTTGGCTGTAACTCCTTTGTGAGTAGCGGTCATGTGCATGTAGAATTCTTGTGAAAATGGAGTGACTGTTCTCTTGGCTGTAAAACCCATGAACCTTCTCTTTGTTTATAGCTACAACCCATACCCCCACCCACATGCACG